TTTTTTTTTTCTTTTGAAAAAACTCCAAATATCATGTTTCATTATTTGCCTTTCTTACTTAATGCACAGTTTTGCACAATCTTATAAAACTTTGAGATAATTTAACAGTTTAACAATATAATAAATTTTATAACCCAAATATTTTTCAATTGTAATTTATTTATCATTTTAATTACTACTTTATAAAATACATAAAAAAATATAAAATAAAAATTCATTTCAAATTATAGGATTGAAAATTGTAACATATACATAAACCCTTATCTTTATAACAAAAAAGGAATTTTTTAAATATTTTTCAAATAAAAGAGTTGAGGTGTTTAAATAATTCAAAATTTAACAAAAGTAATTTTAGGGTAATAAAAATTAAAAGAAAAATTATGTAAAAATTTATATTAGACTTCCCAAAATTGCAGTTGAGATTTTTGGTTAAGTTCTAAGAAATTAACGGACAGATTAAATTTGGTAATTTTAAAAGGGTTGGGAACCATTTTTGGTTTAAATGAGAAGTTGAAATAATATTTTAATGTAATTAATTAATAAAATTTTATATTTATTCTTACTTAATCACTATTTAAATAAGTTTTTTTATTTAATATATGTTATAATTATTTTTTAAAAATAAAAATAAAATAAAAATAAACACATTAAATCATATCATAAAAAATTAGAAAATTAAATTTAAATGGTTTAAATTGAAAATTAAACCTACTAAAATTAATAAGATAAAGTATACATTTAATCATCCATTGGCGGGAATCAGAAAAAATTTTTAGGGAGCCAAATGTTACATTGATAAAAAAAATGAACTAAAATTGTATAGAATAAATTAAAAATTTAAGGATAAGAACTTCTACTTTATAAGTCAAGTTTTGTTTTGTTTTGTTTTTTTTTTTTTTTCAAAATGAGAAAAAAAAAAAAATTCTCCGTGTAATTGTAGCCACATATACCGACTAAAACATCTCTGCAATAAGACACGTTTTGGGGTTGCTTGTTAAATATCACGGCATTGGCTTCTTAGAACTTTGAGCTGCTCGTTTCCATTTCTCTCCACCACACAGAAACTGTATAAAAATTAGAGACTGGCTGCCAAGCAATCCAGTGACCTCAACAATGTCACTTGCAACCAAACTATCTTATCCCTACCCGTTCTATTCTCCTACACGATACTCTTCCTCTCTTTTTCTTCTCCATAACCATAAGCCAAACATTTCTACTGATCTATCTCTGTCTTTTAACCTCGACAAGGCATGCCACAAGCACCCCCGAAAGTCCGACTCCTTTGGCGTCTCTTGTCGATTAACATCTAGTATCGAGGAGGAGAACGATTGTAACTTCAATGAGGCAGTTTCCCTCTTCAACAAACGGGAATATTACAAATGTCATGACGTCCTAGAAGCCTTGTGGAACCAAGCTGACGACCCTGCAAGAACTTTGATACACGGCATTCTGCAGTGTGCTGTTGGACTTCATCACCTCTTTAACCAGGTCGTGTAATTACCTTTTCTTTTTGCTGATTTAATTTCTTTGTCTTCTAATGCATGCTAATTTGCATCAAATATTTACCTTTGTAGAACCACAGAGGAGCCATGTTGGAGTTAGGAGAGGGCCTCTGTAAGCTGAGAAAGATGAATTTCCATAGAGGACCATTTCATCAGTTCGAGCACGACATTGCTGCCACTCTCGACTTCATTTATCAGACTCAGATTGAACTTGCTGCCTGTAAGTGAAAACAATTATTTTAATAAAATGTCAGCTTTCACATGCTAATGGAACTGTGGAAATTTTAATCATCATTTGCAGGTACTAATGATCTGTGTCAGACCATGGACCAATCCGAAAATTCATACCTTCTTCTTGGAAGCTACGCTGCTGGGCAGCATCTATATCATCTACAAAATGACCCTACTAATCAAATTATGTACATTGTATTCAATCCTCGAGGATCCTATGGATTTGGTGACCCTCCCATGGTAGAGCTTCCAATTCTTAAAGCAACTGAGGAGCATCTTAGGATTATATAAGGGACTTCTTGCAGATCCAACCATCATATAGTTTTCCATTAAATTTTCAAGTGAATCATTTTGTGCCCGTTAAAATCATGGTACAGAATATGTTTCTTGGCCAAAATGAAGTTTGTATTGCCTCATTTAAAATAGAAAAAGTATTCGATTAAATTACATGTCAGTGGGAAACTAGTTTCCATTTCAGGTCCTTCATGTATGAGAGCAACTTTCCTTATTAAGGAACTTTAGATAGGGGAATACTGCGTCTGCATGTGATCCATAATACTGGGAAAATATAGAACGAAGTTGTTTTATGCTGTCCACTGCACTGCAGTTATCCAAAGCTTGCTCGATTGAAGAAAGCTTAACAAGTTCATGTCCAATAACAATGTGACTGGGGCCATAGAGCTTTTCCAAAATCTGCAACACAGAACTATGAAAATCTCATTCCAATGTCAAAACTTGGCAACTTTCATCAAAACAATGCAGACAAATCATGGCCTCTCCAATTTCAAGAAATCAGTCAAATAACAGTGATCATTCAATTAACTAAGGGGTTAACATTCAGTGGGAAACATATTAGATAAAGCTCAATGATTAATAAAACTAAAAAAAGATAACATGGACAGTAGAGCAATGCAAATCAGAGTATCCCTGCCATGCCAATGGCAACAAACTCAACTGGATATGAGTTCCCAATCTTTGAGGCCAAAGTCCTGATGTTACACATAACAACTTCTCATGCAACCTAATCACCTTCTCCATTTTGTTTTCACAAATTGAACAGAGAGCAGCTGGACAATACCTAATCCAAAATGTTGATCAAGCATACCCATATGCCAACTTAACTTCATTGTTGATAGACTCGACTTGGCTTTATAGGGCCTTTATATTCTTTCATTAACAACAAAATTAGATGGAGAGCAAAAAAAGGTTCTCCCTACTTGTTCAAAATTTTTTTATAGTGGTCAGAAAACCAACATACTTGTTCAAAAATATTTGACAACTATTTGCATTATTATAAACTGCTGCTCAGCAAACTTTCTATTCAAATATTGGTGAGAATTTGAATATAAACTAATGTAATGGTTTTAAGATGATCATCATAAAAGCAATTCTATACAGAATAAATTAATCATTCCATCAAAGTTGACAATCATATGACTCCTGCACCAATAGAATTACCTTGATTGATGCTCTACAATGGTTCTGTGCAGATTTTAAATCACCAAGTAAACAAAATGCCTGTGCGAGATTGTCCTCTGCCTACAATTACAAAATCAAAATCCTTATTATTACCATGATTATTCCAACAAGATCAAAATTGGAATTGTTTAGTGGGATCTGGCTAAAATTAGTGGATAGAACTCACTTCTGCAACACCCTTGTTATATGCATGCAGTGTTGATCTGAGCAGACCAAGGGACCTCAAAGCATCTGAAATGGTAGCAGTATCTATTTCCCTTGAAACAGTTGAATCTCGCAACCTACAAAGGATATAACATTCTTGGGTAGGGAATGAACTTGTGTATGAAGTTGTGAATGCATGTAACCATGCAAAAATGTATAAATCTCTAACCTTTTGACAATGAATTAGAATTTCATTTTAAAATGGATGTCAAAATATAAGCTTGGACTTCTAGGATAAATATCTGAATGAATACCAAGATCCAATTCTATCTATTAAAAATAAAACAGTCCAAGTCCTACTCTGTGCCTTTGTAGATTAAGCAAGAATGTGATCACAGAGAAGCTTCAGTGCGTATGGTCTGCATACCTTCTGATATGAATCCAAGCTTTATTTGCTGCCTCAATTGAAGATTCTAGATCATGATATGAATCACATTCCAAACAATATCCAGATTTGATATGGAACCAGTTGTTTTTTTTGCCAAGTGAAAGGTGGGCCACTTTCTTGACATTCACATCATTGAGCATGCGTACCTAAAAGAATAGAAGACCTTCATTAATGAAAATAAATTCACATGATCCAAATCTAATTAATCTGGGGAGATCCACAAAAAAGAACCCTAAGATAGAAAAAAGCCACCATTATCAACACCAACATAAGATTAAAGACGGACTGCTTTGCCAACAATTCTCTGTTTATAGATGGTGTTTGTCCAGATGAAAGAATTTGCAGATGGCCTTAACCTTCCAATCACAAGGATCTGGAACCTTTTTCCTTAAACATTTCGCATAACTAGTCAGATGGACATATTGTGATAGAACAGTGAGGCCATACTTATCTCTAATGTACAGCAGAAGCTTACTCCCTTTGAATAAACTTTTGCCACTAGAAGAAAAAAAAAAAAAAATCTCAAAGATCCATTTTTTAAAAAGAATAATTTGGTACCAGCTAAGCGGTCTTATCCCACGTTGATTAAGTTTGGGATTTCCTATTATCTTATATACAAGATGGTCCCCTCCACCATTACTAAATTGCTTTAGATTGGATATTTGGATGCTTTAACAATCTCAAAGAAACCAAAGGTACCTGTAGAAGAGGGTTGATGCTGCTTGGTTCAGAAATCTTAAGTTTCTGGTTCTCACAGTAAACTGCATGACTATTGAGAACCACACCAGAACAATTAGGATCAATGCAGCAAAAACCATTTATAACAAGGTCAGATGCATTAACTTCTGAACAACCAGCGCACTTGCATTGAAAAAAGTACTCATCTTGTAGAAACTTAAGGCGGTCTTTACAGTCCCACTGTCCAACCTGAAAAGTATAACATAAAATTAGGCAATTAGCTAGTTGATCTTTGCACCAAATTCAGTTTTCCAGCATGTTTTAACAAACACATATGGCAGATCACTCAAGCAGTATGGTGCAGAAACAGCCTGTAGAAAACAATAATATCACTTCTATATCTTGAATAAGCAAAACTAGAGAGATTTTCAAGGTTAAAATAGGGACTAGTACCTGTGGACCATAGGAGAACTCCAAGGGACATCCTGCAGCCACAAACTCTGTTGTTCGTATTAAAAGAGTACGTGAGAGAAAATAGGCATGGATGTTAGGTAAGCAGGAGTGGTTGAACAAGCAGCCAGTTTTGTAAATAGCTTGACCTACCCTGACCTGTGCAAGTACCAACAAACATAAGATAGGATGTGCAAATGATAAAACTTTTGGGGAGAAAATCCACAATTCCATAAGAAAAAGAATCTTCTTGCTGGAAAAATTTATAAAGTTAAAGAATACTGCATATCATAACCTCTAACTATAGGGCTTGTTGACATGTTCCAAGGTTTGCCCTTTGGAGAAACTTCAGCTTAGATAACTTTTTGGTCTTTGTGTTAAGTAAGCTTGTTTCTTGACGGCATGCAAATCTTGGGTGTCATATTTATCTATTATTCTGAAAATGTTCTGTAGCGCTATAAAATATTCTTTCTAGTTTTTCCACTTGGATGTAAATATGATGTTATAAGACCTATTCAAGGTTTCTATGTAATTAATCACAGTATTATCGATTGTAGATAGCAACGAATAGTGGAAAGGCCAAAATAAGCTATGAATTCGTAGCGTATTAAAAATATATATAAATTTAATAAATAAAATAATAAATAAACCTAGTAGGAAAAAGGCATAAAATATGTAATAACTTACAAAAATACACAAATAATATAGTCAAGTAAATAAAATCATAACAACCAATAAGTTACCAAGACAATAAAACACTAAAATAGAGTTCAGAAGTCATATAAGACAATAGTGGCTGCTATAGTGGCTATGGCATCCAATGTCTATAAGAACACAATTATATTCGTCATTTGAACTTTGAGTAAGGAGACATACACTTGAGACCATTTCACCATAAATCACTACAAAGGTGGCTTCCCCTAATAGTAATTTCTCCCTCCCACATGTTGATAAGACACATTAACCCCTAAGATTGGGTTTGGAGAATGATTTTAAGGTAGGATTTCATAAGAAGAAAATGTAAAGGAATTTCAAAAGTCCTTTTTTGTCACCAAGAAGAGAGGTCACATCGAAAATCACCTTTTAAGTGGTACTAGCATTATCCAACCCATTCTGTGGGTTGTTGGGGTGTCTTTGCTTTTTAAAAGAAGAAAAAAAGATTGTTAGAAGCAGATAATAAAAAAAAAAATACATAGTAAAGAAAAAATGTGATATTAAATAATTTGTTTCTAAATGTTTTAATAGGTTCAAGAGGTCTTTTAATATTATGTAATAAAAATCTGTGAAAATAAGATTGTTCTTACCAAACCTAATTTATTTGATTTACAACATAATCAATTTTACAATCAAACCTAGTATATTTTTTTCTTCACAGAAATAAATAAAATAAAAAAAGACAAGAAGAAAACTTTTTTCCATACAAATGAAAAAAAGATAGAAAGTAAAAATTAATTACACTAAGCAGTTTCCTGTTTTGTAGTGTGCAAAATAGGAACAATTGGATGGGGGGACAGCCCCAATTATCAGGGGCCTTGCTCCCATCCAATGGCTTATGTTGTGCAGTCCAGACTGCACAACACTAACAAAGAATTTACAAAATAGCCATTGGTGAACACTATTTTAAGTGACCCTCCCTATTACTCTTTGAGATTCTAAATAAACAAAGTTTCTGCAATACAACCAAAACATTTTTTATATGAAAGTCATTTAGAAAGGGAATTTAAAATTCCTTTCTTCATATTTTCTTCATTGAAATTCCTCAGTTATAATCCTTCATCCAAACTGAGCCCAGGGATTTGAATAATTCACTAACCACAGTCAACTCATCACTGTTCACTATGAATACCAAAAAGAAAATGTATAAAGATAAAAACAAAACAAAAGTCCTTTGAACCTTCAATGAGGTTTACTTCCCTTCTTTTTGTTTTCGGCCATTGAGGTTCATTTCCATACAATGGGTAATTAGCAATGACAATTCATCCAAAAGAAATTTAGAAGTTTGGCTAAAAAAAGAAAAAATAGAAATCTGATCTACAGGAAGATCCTGGAAAGTTACAAATGAAAAGCATATTAAGAAACGGACCTGTTCCATACTACTAGTTAAAGCAGGTTCACTAGGTAAAAGCTTGCCAAACTGATCTTGCAACCCAAAAACATCACTGGATTTCATGTGAACAATTCTCATAGAATTCACTCTAATTTGAGATAGAAGGATGATAATCTGCACTCAAATCAGAAAATGGGAACAATAACAGAGTAAGTAGTTATATAAAATTTGAAACTTACAGGTATGCTTGACATAGACAGAGATAGAGAGAGAGATGACCTGTGATATGGAGAATTCATTTGTCAAAAGTTCAGAGCAGTAAGAGAATTTGAGACAGAATAACAATACAATGGAGTATAAATGTAACTCCAGTTTGCTTTCTGAAGGCATTTTTGAATAGCATTGAGAAAGACCCTGCAAGATTTATAATGACCATATGCCAAAAAGTTAACTTCTTAGATAAAAGCATCATCGATTTGTTAACTGTAATTCAACGTAGAAATGGAAAAAGGATATACCAAAGTCTCCAAAATGTTAGGAATCTCCTTAAAATGTCCTTTTTGCGCCATAGATTTCATTACCACTCGACCAGCCAGAACAATATCAGTTGGCAATACGGCAGGCCAATTCACACCTTGACATTCATGTTTATGCTCTGGGATAAACTCAAGTTTTTGATCAACAACGTCACCACCAGAGGTAATCTCCATAACATACTCTTCAAGATTGTTGGAATGGTTGCCATTAATGTAAATGTTGCTTGGACACTTCCCATATGTTTGACCACTGGCTTGTAGTTGGCAATTCTGGGAGCAGTACATTGGTATTGAACATGACATACAGGGGACTGCATCAGCTGGTAGTACACTGAAGCAGTAATGGCAATGTGATTCACGACTATGCTTCAATATGATCTGCATATTATAGGACAGCGTCAATTAGCAATCAGACATGATCTTTTCTTTTTCTTTTGTAGCAACATGATCCTATTGATGATAAAACAAATAAATGTAAATATCTTTAGCAAAGATATTGCTTGCTAAAACAAGTCAGATAGAATTCCACAATACTACCTCAATATCTTTCACAAGTAGATAACTAAAATAGAAGAGAACAAAAGGGGCTGCAACCCACCCAAGAATGAAACATGAATGCAGGCAAACAACAATGGAATACACATTGGCAAGAAAAAAAAAAAAAAGGATAAGAGAATAACCTTTCAAGGGAAAAAAAAAAAAGTACAAATGAAAAAGAGAATCCTCACAAATCCATATTACACAGGAGAAGAGAGTACCAAGGAAGACAACAAATTAAAATCAAAACCTAAAAATATTGACCTTCCAAAAAGGAACAATAATTATCAACATCAAGGGCTGCAATCAACGTTAATTCCCTCAGCATCCCAACTCCTTAGATTTCACATCTGACGCTTTTTCCACAGCAAATCTAGCTTATAGGGAAGCCAATATGCATGCCATGACATACACAGAAAAAAAAGCCACTTCAACTACTTAGGAATTTTATCCCATGAAAATATCATTCTATTCTCAGATCAACAAAATAAGAGAAGTCAGCCTATGGGATCATGTGGAGGGTTACATTTAGGCTTGACTGCTTAGGGTTCAACTGCATAAAGGTACAACATATGTTGATCGGTAAATGGTTAGGTATAATTTAAAACTTCTGACAAGTGAGAAATTAAAAAGGAAAAATGTAAAATGTATTGTTTTACTCTTGAGTTGAAAATTGCAAATGTATAACATTAAAGATACAGATGAGAATATAACTTAATCTTAATCCAACTACTATTTTGACCTTAAGCAAGGTGCCTATCCTCCACTATTGCAAATCATGTTCAAATATCAAACCTAAAGAGCTAAACTAAGATGGAAAGAATACAGCAATATAACTATTTAAGTCCACAAACTCTCCTTAAGAGAAAGTTACTTCCTGGAGTTTGGTTCCTAAACTGGATTTTAGCAAAGTCAACATATGGGTTCACAAACACATTGCCAACCTAGGTCATTCTAGGTAACCAAAAGAAAAGAAGCAAAGATGAGAGAGTCAATTGGCAGGTATTTTGTCTCCAATGATTAGTGACTACAACTGTCATCTGGGAGAAATTCTTCCATACAACAAGGATACCATGTTAGTGGTATCCTAGTCCACTAATGTAACAACATGTCTGCATTTGTGGCCCCCACTTGTAATTAAAAAGATTAATTTATTACAATTCCTAATTACTTAATTATATGTGAGAGTAACATATGCTGACATATTGCTACATTATTGAATAGGGATACTGCTGATGTTGTATCCCCGTTGTATGGAAGAATTTCTCATCAAATGGGGAATATGTATGCTAGGTAAAAGGAGCTTTGTTAACACTAGTCAAGCAATTCCTGCTCCAAGTTTAAACAGAAGAAGTAAACACATACAAAGTAAGTAACAAATTGACGAAAATAAATTTAATAGAGCATTACCGCAGCATACGGTTCTTCAGAATGAATCAAAGAAGCTTGAGGAATGTCATATTCTGAAGTCATGCCCCTTCCTTTATCTGGCGTTGTGATACACAGTAGGTTTATTTGGTCTGTCACATCTGACAATAGTTTTGTGAAAAGTTCTATCAAAAAGAGGGAATTTAGGACACATGTTTGAATGTGCTAAAGATTTATAAATCACAATTATTTGAAGTATCTACACAGAATGCCACCAAATGTCAATTTAGGCTTAAGCACACCATGCCAGGAAATAAATAAAGACTGTCTCTAGCTATTCTGAGCATTGCAAAGTGTTATCAACAAGTTAGAGATTGCAATGAATGTGTCATGTACATTCCATAATTCCCTAATGCTTTTGGATAATCAGTTGTAGAATGTGGCAAACAATCTATTCTAACTTCATAGTTTATGTTTGGAGCAAACATAGAAGGTAACAAATAATACAAATAAATAGAGATTGGATCCACTTACACATGTAAGTCTCACATAAATGATCATAATCAATTCTAGATTCATAGCTTACGTTTGAAGCAAGAGGAAGGACACGTCAATATAATTTATTACTAATGAAGAATATGATAAAAGCATTTGGACACTTAAGAGTTGCGATTATCCCACCAGACACTACCATGTCATTCTCATTTTGTTGAACCAGATTAGTGTCTTCCCTCTCATGATGCTGAGAAATTATATTCAATTCACTTTCTATCTGTCTCTTTCCACTTACGGAAAACTCAAAATTCTTAGCAGCAGTTAGGTCACGAACAGAATCTTCATAATTCCCCAGAGAAGCATTCACTTTTCCTCTCCTATACCATGCCTGCAGTGGTGATAAGACATTGCCCAAGCTTAACAATGGGAATAGATAAATTGTAGAGACTGTTAAAGTGGTATTATCCCACATCACTTCTGTTTGGGGTTTCAAGCAATTTTTTTTCAAGTTGGGCCTTCTCACCTATTGATTTTAGGCTGATACAAATTCATGTCCAAGGGAAAGATGCTGGAGGGAGTCCAAATAAGTTAAGTGGGATTAACATCCGGTCTGACAGACCTCACTATTTAAAAGGTACTCCCCTGTCTTCCCCACATAAATGGTGCTATCATCAAGTTTGCATCATAGTAATTGATTATATTAAATGTTTCAGCAATTTATGTACACTTTCTCTTCTACAAGCATATTTACCTTGGAATAACTTGGAGAAAGCTGAAGACCTCTGCTGCAGTCTTGCAAAGACTCAATTAAAAGTCCCATTTTCTAAATGAAATAAACAGATAAATAAAGTATGTGATACTGATGAACGATCAGATAGCAAAGGCATCAAAGCACATGGAAATCTGTTCAAAATAAAGATTAGCAAAAAATTCCAATGCCACATATAAGTTTAGTTTACTGTTTCCTCTCATGGAACATATGTGCATTTTCTCTTCTACAAGCATATTTATTTACCTTTTTTTTTTTCACAGAAAGAAATAGGATGTAAACATGATAGCAAGAAAATGGACTTGTATGTAAAAGGAAATTGCACAACATGCATACAGAAGAGAAGAAAATAATAGCAAATATCAACAAGTAAATAATAGAAGAAGTTAGAATTGGTTACACTGACATGAAACAAAGAAGCTCGATTGACATAAATAGTTGCAAGAAGATTTTTGCCCCCATCGTCGACATCGATTGGAGCAACACGAAGTGCCTGAGAATAGCAGCTCAAGGCCTGGGCATGATCTCCTGCAGCAAAACATCTATTACCGTCGTGTTTCAACTTAAAAGCAGCCTCCTGGTTTTTGCGACAAAGAGCCGCATTTGGGTCTGACAAGTCTTTAACCATCTAAGACGGGAAAGAAACATGTGAAGAAGAAGAAGGAGGAGGAGAAGAATAAGAAGAGAGAAAACGAAAAGGATGGTGACTGCATTACTTGATGAAACTGCGGTAGACTATGAAAGAAGTCGAGAAGAGAAGAGGAGGTCAAGGGAAGATCATCGAGGGTGCTCTCCGCCACCATCCTTCTGAGACTGTCTGGAACCGCCGATTTGAGCTTCTCCATATGTTTGGAACCGCCGATCGGAGCTTCTCCAAAATCCAAGAATAGGTGTCGCCCTTTCTTTTGGGGGTCTAGAGTGCAGAGTGTACTCCATCTATCAAAATGGGCCCCAAACCCATAGGGCTAAAACATGGATTTAGCCCTTATTAAGTTTAAAACGTTTAGATCTTTAAAGATTTCATAACGTGAGTGGCACAAAAATCAAGGTTTAATAACCAATTTGGTCCTTAAACTTTAATTTCAAAACTTAATTTATCCTTTAACTTCAAAAAACACTCAAGTTATCCTTTAACTTTATTTTTCTGTAACCCAAATGATCGTTCCGTTTACAGACTATATACTTGGCATGTTAAATGTCTAACAATTATCACTTTTAATTTTTACAAGCCTACGTGGAAAAAACAACTCAGCCAATTGATTACATGTCACCATTTTCATTCTTGCGTTTACCCCTTTCTCTCTCTCTAGCATGCAGACTTGCAGAGACAATCTCTTGGCTCTCCAGTCTCCAAGCTCCACAACCATGGAGGAGACGATACTATTGTAGCAGAAGATCTGAGATGCAGAGTTGCGGAAGACGACGATGACAACGACGAGCGCAAGGCAACCAAGCCTCGTCGGTTGTCGTTCTTGCCGTCGTCTTCTCCGCCATCGTCGTCGGCTTCCAGGCCTGAGAAGTTTATTCACCTCATTCTAGTTCTCACTCTTCTTTGCTTCCTCATCCTCTATCTCTCCGCTCACGCTCCATCTCAATCAGGTATGTGTGCTCAAAATCTACTAGGCATCATTTTTCAAAGGAGATTTAATTCTTACCATTGACTTTTTTGTTTTGTTTTGAAATTTTTGGTTTAGATTTGGCTCATTTTGCTCAATTCAAGCGCTCCTCTAAGCAGCTAGGTATAATGCAGCTTCAATTCCACTTTATTTTCTCACCTTTTTCCCGTTGATTTCAGATTTTCAGTATTTCTCGCCTTTTTCTGTTTTTTATTTTATTTTATTTTATTTTATTATCTCTTCTCGGTAGATTCAAATAATTTTGCTTATCAAAAAGAAAATTTCAAAGAGAATTTTCATTTACTAGATAAAATCCTTAACTTTATATATAACAAAACCTATGGAAATGAAGATCAAGATAAGAACCTGAGCTCTTGACAATGTGTATGGATCCAATAAGATGCGAAGGATTTCAAGAAACTGGCAGTGCATATCCTCCCCAAAATCAGTTATCATTCCTTTAACCTGCAAGTAAACAACTAGGTATGTTAGTTATTCCAATTTACAGACAAACAGAGAAAAAACATATATACAAATAAGAAATATAAAATAAGAATATCACTCCCATTTTACTATTCAACCATTCACTGAACCATTTCTAAATTTTAAGCATTTTCATAAGGGAAAAATATTATGGAGTCCCATTTAAACTGAATTTCATTCTAAGAAAATCAAATATTAAAATATCCCATAAGATTGAAGCAGAGAGAGAACATTATTACAATAAACATAAGAATAGAATATACAGAAGGAATCATGAAGTACCAAGCAGTGCTCTTTCTGATCAAGAAAAAGAGTATCCTATACTTAACCCAAAAAGTGTGGAAAATGCCTTTGTTCAAAGTAATTTACTTCTAAAAAATGATTATGCCACAAGGAATAAGATTGGCCTATTTAAACAAACACCAATACATCATGCTGCATCTAAATTTACCAGGGGTAGGTATACCCAGTTGATAATTCAACACCTAAGTTGCTCAATTGGGGAACCTATAGATGTAATGATGACCACATACAACAATGCAATATAGCTTCAATTAATTGGAAAAATGGCACTTAAGAATAGAAAAACAATCCAATGCCAATTACAAAACTGAAAAGGAGAAGAGAAAGTAAAATAAAATAAAATAAAAAACAAAAAAGACAAGAAATACTGAAAATCTAAAATCAACGGGAAAAAGGAGAGAAAATGAAGCGGAATTGAAGCTGCATTATACCTAGCTACTTAGAGGAACGCTTGAATTGAGCAAAATGAGCCAAATCTAAACCAAAAAAAATCAAAACAAAACAAAAAAGTCAATGGTAAAAATTAAATCTCCTTTGAAAAATGATGCCTAGTAGATTTTGAACACACATACCTGATTGAGATGGAGCGTGAGCGGAGAGATAGAGGATGAGGAAGCAGAGAAGAGTGAGAATTGGAATGAGGTGAATAAAATTTTCAAGCGTGGAAGTCGACGGCAACGGTGGAGAAGACAACGGCGAGAACGACAACCGGCGAGGCTTGCTTGCCTTGCGCTTGCTGTTGTCATCGTCGTCTTCTGCAACTCTGCATCTCGGATCTTTAGCTACAATAGTATCGTCTCCTCCATGGCTGTGGAGCTTGGAGACTGGAGAGCCAAGAGATTGTCTCTGCATGTTAGAGAGAGAGAGAGAGGGGTAAACGCAAGAATGAATGACATGTAATCAATTGACTGAGTTGTTTTTTCTTTCACGTAGGCTTGTAAAACTTAAAAAGTTAAAAGTGGTAATTGTTAGACACTTAACGTGCCAAAGTATGTAGTTTGTCAACAGAAGGATCATTTGGGTTACAGAAAAATAAAATTAAAGGACAATTTGGGTGCTTTTTGAAGTTAAAAGATGATCTAAGTTCTGAAATAAAAGTTTAAGGACCAAATTGGGTATTCAACCAAAAATCAATTAACTCTTTGTGTTAAAATAAAAAAAAAATTATAATATATTAAAAAATATAATAACTTAGTTTTTTTTATAAATTAAATTAATTATTTAATTTAATTATAAATATTTAATATTATTTTTATATATATGACAAAATTATTTTTTAATTTTTAAAATTTTTAAAATTTTGAGATTAAACTATCATATTTTTAATTCTTTGAGATTGCTCTCATAAATTTTTTTCCTTACTTTAAAGAAAGTCAACAAACTTTATTTTTATTTATTTATTTTTTAAACATTTTGTTATGGACCAGCTTGAACCATTAACCATTACTTTGGAGAAGGGATATGAATCTTACAAGAGGGACTAAAGTCATTTGGCCCAGAAGATCAGGTTCGAGTCAACAAACTTTATTTGTTAATTTAAATGTTAAAATTTTTATATTTTTAAACTTAAAGATTAAGAACTCTATCATATAAAATAAAGGATTAAAAATTTTAAGTTAATAAAGATTAAATACATGTTTTACCTAAAATAGCTGGTTTGAGGGGAATAAAAGGAGGAAAGGTGAGGATCAAATACATGGAAGCAAAATAAACGAATCATTTATATTACCTTTATTTTTTTTATCTTAAATGAGTCATTTAATTTGCTAAAAATAAAAAATAAAAAAAAAAATTTTTTGATAGCAAAATCATTTAATTTGCTAAAAATAAAAAATAAAAAAAATTTTTTTTTGATAGCAAAATAAATAAATAATTATAAAGTTAAAGTAAAAAAATATTTATTTATTTTAAAAATAAAAATAAATAATTTAAAATAAATTTAAAATAAGAAATAATATAATAATTATTTTGATAGCAAAGAAATAGTTTTTTTTTTTTTTTTTTTTTTTTTGGTTTTTTTAAAGGGTTCCGATGTGTAGGCATGCGATAGAAACATTCTTTGCTTCGCTTAGAAAAAAAAAAAAAAAAACAAATGCAGGCTAACCAAAAATTGTTGGACTAATCTAACCCAAAACCCTCAACTGGATCCGGAATCCAACCCAAGAGGATTAGCTTTAAACCCTTGCAATAACTATCCATTTGCTCGCGCCGTTCTCGCTGCTGCGATTCAACGAATCTACAATGCATCGATCAAAGGCAATCCCGTCGTCTCTCAGGGTCGCAAGCTCTCGGCTTTTGACCCGGCATGGCTCAACTCGGCAACTTTCGGCACAGGTAACTCACTCTTCTCAACTCTCTTCATGTCTGTCATATGAGCCTGGGTTTTCTCACTTGTTAGAAGCCCATCAAAAGCATCGTTCTTCAAAAATAAACTCTTTGCTGCAAAAGATAGTGTCAAACGAATGGTCTAATGAGTTAGAGGCTGAGTTAGAGAAGTCTAAGTCAGTGTTGACCCATGGGACTGTTATCTATGTTTTGAAGAAACTAGATAAGGATCCACAAAAGGCATCAACTTTCTTCAATTGGGCGAGGATCAAAAATGGGTTTACACCCAGCTCCTCGGTGTATAGCTTCTTGCTTAGGATTTTGGCTCGTAAAGATACTATGAAGCACTTTTGGATTACGTTACAGAAAATGAAAGAGCAGGGATTTTATCTTGATGAGGAAACTTATTTAACAATTCAGGCTGTGTTTAAGAAGGAGAAGATGACGGGTGACATTGGGGCTTTGACCTATTTTAATAATAGGATGCTAGAACAGAATGCTTTGGATGTGACTGCAAAGATGGTGGCTAATGTTGTTTTAGGGGCTGAGTGGAGCAACAAGGTTGAGAAAGAATTGCAAGAGATGAAGATTACTGTATCGGATAATTTTGTGATAAGGACATTGAAGGAACTGCGCAATTACCCTGTGAAAGCTTTGAAAATTTTCCATTGGGCTGCTCAGTGTTCGGACTATGATCACAATACTATTACCTATAATGCTGTTTTGAGGGTTCTAGCAAGGCATGATTCAGTTGAGGAGTTCTGGAGTTCTTTTGAGGAGATGAATAGTTTAGGATATGAGATGGATATGGACACTTACATAAAAATTTCCAGGCAATTTCAAAAATCAAAGATGGTGGAGGATGCAGTGAAACTTTATGAGTTCATGATGGATGGCCCATATAAGCCCTCAATTCAAGATTGCAACTTACTCCTAAGAAACATTTCAGGTGGTGGTAATCCAGATTTGAATTTGGTATTTCGAGTCACAAAGAAATATGAGGCAACAGGGAATTTACCTTCTAAGCCCATTTATGATGGGATTCATAGGTCCTTGACTAGTCTTGGGAAGTTTGATGAGGCAGAGAACATTTTGAAGGTTATGAAAAATGCAGGTTTTGAGCCTGACAATATTACATACAGCCAACTGGTCTTTGGACTTTGTAAAGCAGAGAGATTAGAAAAAGCCTGTGAAGTGCTTGATGAAATGGAAGCTAGTGGATGTATTCCTGATATTAAGACATGGACCATCTTGATTCAAGGTCATTGTAATGCTAATGCAGTTGATAGGGCATTGATGTGTTTTGCTAAGATGATGGAGAAGAACTTGGATCCTGACGCTGATTTGTTGGATGTGTTAATCAGTGGTTTCCTTAGTCAGAAAAGAATAAATGGTGCATACCAGCTACTTGTTGAGATGGTAAAGCAAGCTTGCTTAAGACCTTGGCAAGCAACATTTAAGAAACTTATTGAGAAGCTGTTAGGATTAAGAAAATTTGAAGAAGCTATGAACCTCCTCTATTTCATGAAGAAGCAAAGCTACCCACCCTACCATGAACCTTTCATCCAATATATTTCTAAGTTTGGGACTGTGGGGGATGCTTTAGAATTCTTGGGAGCATTGACTGTGAAGGATTATCCTTCATCTGCAACTTATCATTATCTTCTGAAGGCATTTGTTAAGGAAGGTAGATTTTCAGAGGCCCAAGACGTGCTATACAAGTGCCCTCATCACATTCGTACTCATCCTCAAATTTGTGAACTCTTTGGTTCTGAAAAGATTGTTTGATGCACCAAATACAATGGTTGTTAATGTTTTCATTTTCTTTAGTGTTTTCTCTCTTTCTTATTTTTCTGAAGCATGTTAAATACTTGGCTCAAAGAGAGATTCAAGGCATTTTTTTTTTTTTTTTGCCCTTTATGTATGTGGGAAGAGCCTATTAGGAAATTACCATGTAGTTACATTGTGACTAATCTGCTTCTATGGTGCAAAACTTTAAACTACTCTGTAAAACATTATTTCTTTATCATCAATCTAAATTAGCAATTCTACTGCTTGATGGCCAAAAAAAAAAAAAAAACTTAAAAGGTTCCAATTAACCAAGATAAATTCATCATGATGTATATATATCCTATGCTCATATCTATCTATGTAGATTTCTGCTCAAGTTAATGTTTAATGTTCTAAACAGTCTTGTCTCTAACTTCAACACTGTAATTTTTCCCTAAAGTAATACACTCCTAGTTTGTTCGGTTTGAGGGGAGGGGGGAAATTTTCTCCATTTTGATAACAAAAAATTGGAGAAGGCTTTCTCATTTACCCGTGGTTTTAGTTACAGCGATTGATAAATAGGGACGGTAGTAGATAAACTCAGTTTGCTAAAGCTATGAATTCAATTGTCATTAAGGAAAGGATTCCTGCCAGAAAAATAGAATACCACTCGTGATTAAAATGAAAAATTTTGCCTACTAAATAATTGTACATAAATCCCCCTAATATAACCGCACGCATCATTTCTCATGTGATAACCCCTCCGTGTCCATTTTTTTTGCGCACACAACTCTCGACTAACTAGATGGTACCCGGCAACTGAAAGGACGGAGAATTCAAACAGTAGCTCAGATAGATGGTAGAAAGATGCACCTCTGTCTTGGTAAGAAGCTCAGGTACAGTTGTTCGTATCATTTTATGATTAATCATCCATCATCTATGCATACAGAGATTCATATACAGAGACCAATGAATATTGTTTTAGGTTTTTAGCACTTCTTTTTTTTTTTTTAATGTTTATATCGGTCAGTCAGGTAGCTCGGAACGCTCCCTCCTAGCTGTTTCTACCATTGTGGACAGGAACTTGCTAGGGTCACAACAGTAGGGGTTGGCAAGAGCTGCGTGCGCCAAAAATGGAAGTTTTCGTAACGATCTTCCACTCAGTCCCTATAAAGGAAACCACAAAGAAACTCAATTGAGTATCAAAACTTGAATAATGCATCTCCTCTGTCATTTAGAAAAACAAAGCAGAATTCAATTCGTACTCAAAGTTTTGTCTCTAACCTCACATGCTTCTGCAGCTTTAAGAAGTTGCTTGCACAGGGGCAGTGCAGTTTGAACATCTTGAATCTCAGTTGAGTTGAATATCTGTTTCAAGGTAACATAATTTGGAAGCATGGCACATTCAGAATCCTGAGAAATTCAAAGGTGTTCATCTGTTATTTTGATATACATGTTTACCAACCCCTAACAAAATTACCATTAAGTGGATGAATCTTGAAGCCTCAAAGATATGTTTCTGGAAGATAAGTATTTGCACCTGGATATCGGATATGATTTCTGTCCGGATAAGTTCCTGCAAGCAGGATCTTAAAATTTCGTATCGAGCTTGAAGAGTTGGAGGACCCACATATGCTTTGATATCGGCCCGGTCAACAAATGCAATATCTGCAACTCACAATTGGTAAATCTATACATTCTAATAGTGTGTTCTTTGATCCTTCTATTCTTTTGTTATAATCTCTAACAATGATGCGGAAATGACATTTTTGACAAGTATTGAGTGGGGGAAATATCCATACACATGGAAAACTTAATCAATCAGAAAAGAGAACTGTGTAACATTTTTTCTTTTGATGAATGAGAACTCTATAACATTAAAATCTACAATGACGCCACAATTACAATCTCAATTTCAAGAAATGCGATGGGTTTAACATAATCAATCTGAAATGAGTTACAGGCTTACCAATTGCAGAAGTAATATTAGATGTAGTCAAAACAATCACATTAGGTGATGACTTCAATTTATCCATCTGGGTTAGTAGTGCGTTCACAACCTGTTATACATATTCCAAGGGGTGTTCACACATAAAAAAAGGGGCCACTACAGTCAGCAATATTGAGATGTGTTTTTTAGAAAAGGAAGAAAACAGTATCATAGCATATCTATAATACCCGAATGGAATCTGAAGGTTCAGATCCAGATAACGCTGCCTTTCTTGCAGCAGCAAGGCTTTCAACTTCATCTGCATCATCATCATATCATATAAGTCTGAAAACCTCACAAATCAAAACAAAAATCAGATTGAGAGATAATCAAAATAGAAGTTCTGTACTTGAAACCCTCACCAATCAAAACAAATACCAGATTGTTTTCTTCCTCCACCATTTCTTGAATTTTCTGAAAAAGCTTTGCAACCTAAAAGTAAAGAGGTAATCACATATCAGAATTCAAGACAGGAGCTACATCCTACTAAAATTCAAGACCCATTGATATTATCATGTAAACTTTCACCAACCAAATAAAAAAAAAAAAAAAATTATCAAGCAAACTTTCAACAATAAATTGTTCAATAGAGCACAGTTAAACTAGAAAGAAAGAGAAAAAGTGGCTGTCAGTGTCCACGTACCAACTTCCCACTCTCAGAGAACCATTTACTAAACAAAGAATGGGCATTAACTTCAACCAATTGGCTCTGTGGGTATCTGATTAGAAAGTATAAACCAGAAAAAGATCTTAGCATAAGAATGAATCACCCGACATGATAAGTATAGGTAATTAAAAAGATGAACTTATCAGAAAATAAAGTTAACAAAACCTAGAGCTGAATCTTATGGATAGTTTTTGAGCAAGTGCTCTGCATAAAGATGTCTTCCCTGTCCCTGGAGGTCCATGTAACAGAACGATGCTGCAAACATTTAACAAAAAGTTCAAATTTGTGGAAAGTAATTATCACAAGTATTTTTTGGATCACTGGCTAGGAAAAGATTCCCAATCACTAAGGAAAATATGCTACATTTTGTATGGATCCCTAGTCCTACAAGGCTACAACGTCATAACTGTTAGAAACCACATGGGGAAGTTTTCAGTAATTCTAAGTCATTGATAAATGGCAAGTTGGTATTGACATTTGAAAATTTCATCCCAAAAGGTTTTTATACCACTCAGTAAAAGGCAAAGCACATTGAGATTTGTAAAACCTCAAGGATAGCTTGACTAGATCAAGAAACAAAAATAATAGTTCTTTATTAGAAGTGACACAGAGGTTCCTTACCGGTTCCAAGACACAAGGAAAGGATCAACTCCCTTTTCAGTAAATAATAATGCACTAGCTGCATACCGCAACAAACGTTGCTTAAGGCCAGATTCATAAATTAAGCTACAAAAGAAAATTGTGGCGTCAGCATATTATCGGTTATTTTCAAAATTGAAAAAAAGATAGGAGTTGCAGAAATACCTTTCCCACATGCCATCAAATTCCTTAGCTGGAAGGATCCATTCATTGAAGCTGGAGAGCTGACCTTCCCCATTGAATTCCTCACATGGTCCTTCCTCACTAAGCTGGCAAGATGAAATCACAACTCTTCAAATTTAGACAGAGTGATAGACCCATATCTAAGGATTCAAATCTTTGCTGGGTTTTGCAAGGTCAAGCAAATATTTCTCATTTCATTGATCTCCCATTGGTTACCAACTCAAGTAGGTATTCTACTAGGAACACCAATGAAATTTTAAAGGTGTGTAAGAAAAGGTACAAAAAATTCATGTGACGAATATCTAATATCCTAATTTACAACATTAGGTTTGCACAGTACCTGAAAGACATGAATGACAGGTTTCACTTGCCAGAACAAAAGAATCTCATGGTTCTTCACCCATTCATCTGCAAAACCAACAAATTGAACAAGAAAAACTAGGGGTGAGAATTGTTAATAAAACTGATAACAAGGAGAAATTTCAGGTAATTCGCCTTTTGGTACTAAAAATGAGTACCCAAACTTATTACGTCTAATATCATGTGCAAATAAAGATAACTGATATATAATTTGTATGAAATAAAACAGTTGCAAACACACAATACCACATTTCCACCAAACATAGGGAACCTAATATACCACTGAGTATAAAGGATAAAACTAACCTGTGTCACATATATGGATCCTTTGTACATTTTCCGCAAGAAAAGGATCATCAATAGGCACTGGAATGGATCCATCAGCATAGCTCAAACACCTCTTTTCAAGCATTCTAGAGACAGAATACAAGTATTAAGTTAAGCTTAAGCCCGCCCTTTACAAATTAAAAAACTTATTCAAGGAAGAAATCTAAAACGCATTTCTTCTTAAACCATACACTACTCATCAATCGAATAACTTAGCATGATATCACCTTAAACAACGAACTGAATTAGTCAAGGTTACAACATGAACTGAAAAGGAACTCTGTAATTTCTTACCGTTCAACGGCCGACCGTACATTGTCAGGCCGAGCTGTGCTAGATGGCTTCAAGCAGACTTCAACTAAGGAAAAAAGGGGGGAAATATATATATAAAGGCATAATAAAAGAGAGATCAAAACATCAAAATCTTCAAAAATAAGCTGCGCGACTACCGGAAACCAGAAATTTCTCGTGCGGCAGCATAGGAGACGGCGATGCTAAGAGTGCACCACCATTCGTTTCTGAGATGATGGTGCTTGCGGGATTTTGAACGGAGATCTCCATGGGAGCACTCATTTCTTCCGGATTTTTGAAGGATTGAGGTATAATGCTGCGGATCAAATCACAGAGGATCTAAAGTAAGGTTTGTACGAGTCAGAACCAAACCCTAAGGTAAAGAGGGATTTCCGTTTGAAAACGGGCGGGAAGGGAATAATAAGGTTTTAGGCTGCCTTTAGCATTGTGTCTAGGGCTGGGCGCGCCCCGACAACCGCACCCAAATTGGACTTGCAGTGCGGGCACAAATGAGCTTCTGGCCCAAGGAACGGTCGAGGCCTGAGATCATTTATAATCGGTGTGGTGTTCAGTTTCAAGCCCAAGAATAGAACAATCGAATAATAAACGCAAAAAACTTGCATTATTTTTTAAGAAAATATAAAAGATATGCATTCTAAAAGACAAACCCTAATTTGAGTAATTTCATTCATTCCCTCCCGACCTCCCCTAGAAATTTCAACTACCTACCTCCTCTGCCCTTTGATTCTCCGCCAAAACCTTTCGCCCCACTCCAAATTAGAAAATTTCAACAATTCCATCTAATTTTTGAATGGACTCATCGTTAATCTCTCATATTTCCTTCTCACTTCACTTTCACTTCTTTTTTCTCACTTCTCTCCTCATCCTCTCCTTTTCACAGTTGGCCAAGATGTCATCCTCTCTTTACTGTAAACTCTATTCATCATCCATCTTTAACCCTAGTCTACTTTAGCTTTAGCCATATCTCTACAATGCATCACTAAAAATCTGAAATCAAAGCCTTTACTAAGATCTTCTGTTTCTTTCTCTCTCCATATGGCTTTCGACTCCTCTCCATCTTGCTTTTGATTAATTTGGAATCTGGTAAGTTCTTATGGATCCTTTCTCTCTCTCTCTCTCTCTCTCTCTCTCTCTCTCTTTCTTTTTCCTTTTCAACTCTTCCTATGGATTCTGATTCTATTATGGGATTGATTTTTTATTAAATTGGCTCTTTGATTCTTAATTGCTAGTCTAGAGAGTCTCAGTTCGTAGAGTTACCACTCATCTCTACCTCCTTCCACTCTGTCTCTCATCTACTATTTCTGAATGTTCATAGATACACCACTATGCTTTCTTAATCACTATAATCCTTCTTTTGTCAACAAGGTGCTGGTGCATGTAAAATCCCTAATTCTTTCTCTATCCTTTCAGAGTTTTTCTCCTCATGCATGTACTTGTATTTTGAAAATTGAAAGATCTAGGTAAAAAGGCAAATCAGTGTTTTGATTTCTTCTTGAAATTGAAAACAGTGTGCATTTTGTTACTTTGTATCTATTTTTTCACTCTTATATCTCTTCCCACATAGATTCTTTCCCTTTGCTTCAACCATTCATCATCGGCAACCATCTTCTTTTCTTCTCTAGTCATCATCATCATATTCCATGGCCTCAAAACCATAAAAACTTGTCCAAGCTTTCACCTTTCCCCTCATCTTCGATTTCTCCTTTCACTTTTGATTTTTCCTCTAATCTTCAATCTTTGATTCATGGTCACTGAAGAAGGTCAAAGGTGAGTGAATGTCAAACAATGAGGATGTGCCCAGATCTACAAATCGGTGATAGTGGTGGTGATGATAATGCTATTAATATTTTTTAATTTAAAAATATAAATTATCAAATCCTCTCGAAAGCATAATCATCTTATTTTGAGCAAGTTTTGATGATTTTTTTTGTGTTGATATCTTGGTTTTGATGGTTTAAATTTACTACAATAAAATCACGTTATAGTAGTTTTTGCTACTGCTACAGGCTACAACAGTGGATAAAAAGTCTGAGAATTTACAATCTTGAGGTGAATTCAGATGAAATTATTCATTCTCAAAAAAAAAAAAAAAAAAAAAAAAGAAATTGGATGACATTAATTTTGACTTGTGTAATTAAACTTATTTCTTGATTTACTTTTATTTATAATTTACTTCTGTTTATATTTATGGTAGATTATAATGCATGTATAGAGAAGAGATTTGCTTGTATTAATTTGTGGAAATTTTTAAGTTGAGCTTGAAAGTTGAAGTGCGGCTTCAATTGTTAAAAAATTACGATTCTTTTTAATAGATCGCTTATAACGCATATAATTATATTTTTTAACCTTTTATATCTAATTGGTTGCAGACTTGTATTATTCTATTCTATTACGATATTTAAGATTTAAGATATCAAGATGGAGATTGATCACTTGAATGGAATTAATCCAACTGTAAGTTTTAGGTCACTGAATTTGATTATTTCTTATCAACTAATGAATGTGGTTAATATCTTATAATTTTTTTTGAATTAATCATGTAAATTTTGACCCTTTTGGTATAGGGTGTGAGTAATATAGATAATACTTATCTAACACTAGTAAACATTGCTATTGAATTGCCTAACAATGATCATGAGGATGGGAATCTTGGAAAGAAAAGAAAGGGTATACAAAAAGGTCAAAGGTATGGCTACACTTCACTGCATTTGATGATCTAGTTACTGGTAAGCAGAAAGCAACATATAATTATTATGGAAAGGGGTTATGTGCTGAACCTAGGAGAAATGGTACTTTTACCATGAATGGTCATGTTGAATGTTATTTGAAAAATCTTAGTAATTTGAGAAATAACATACTGTTGAAGATGTTAGTATAGTAGATGGAAGTAAGACAATGATTGATTTAGGGACTTAGAAGTTTGATAAAGGTGCAATGAAGAGAGCATTGGCTGAAATGTTAATTATTGATGAAGAGTCCTTTAGCTTAGTTGAAAAATTAGGCTTTAGAAGGTTTTGTGAAGTAGCATTGCCATCGACTTTTAAAATTCCATCTAGGAAAACTATAACTAGAGAATGTTATGACATCTATGGCAAACATAGAACTGCTTTGAAAAACTTCTTCAAAGAATCAAATCAAAGAGTGTCATTAACCATCGACACTTGGACTAGCTTACAAGGAATCACTTATATGAGCTTGACTGCTCATTTCATTGATGCTAGGTGGAAGTTACATAAGAAAATACTTTGTTTTGTCTTGTTGATAGCCATAAAGGAGATGAGTTGGGAAATCTTCTTGTCAGATGTTTGAAGGATTAAGGGTTAGGGAAAATTTATGCATGAACCATTGATAATGCATCAGCAAATGGACTTGTGAGGGTTTTAAAAGATGCAGTGAACAAATGGGGAACTACTATTCTTAGTGGGACAGAAATTCACATGAGATTTGTAGCCCACATTATAAACTTGGTTGTTGGTGAGGGTACCAAAGAGAAAGAGATGAACAAGTCTATGACTGCCATTAGGATTGCAGTTGTCACGCCCCAGAACCCAAATCCGGGGTCGTGGCAGACGCCGTGCACTTGTGAGAGGGTCCCACAAATGCAAAAGGCTCGAGACCTACTGAGTTCTTACTTAGCAATTCAAATTTAAGCCTTTTAATTTACCAAATAGTTACCAATCGAATGTACAAAATTTATCACTTCATATATACAATCATAACTAACACTAAATTCTGTACACTAAATTTTCTATGTCAAGCATGGGTGACTAACGGCTTAGCTACAAAAACCTAAGTCCAAAAGTGCCTAGCCGTCTAGCTCGTCACTCCCCCGGGCTTCCCACGCGTCGGGTCTCACTACCTGAAATGGTGGACAAGGAAACCGTGAGATAGAAATATCTCAGTAAGTAAACATGGGTGCCCGGAATCAAAGTTTAAAGCATGCCAAATAATTAGTTGAAACATGAACAGAGCGTTTCAATAACAAATCATTAATGCAAAATAAAATCACGTAGTGGTCTCCTCTATTAGTCATGGCCAGTGTTATAAACCTCCCACTGGCAGGCACACGAGTACTAGTGTATAATCCCCACTAGTAGGGCCACGAGCGAACCGGTTCTATCACGAACATGTCGACATGTGCTAGCGTTTGTAAACCTCCCCCACTAGCGGGGTCACGATTACACGACCATATCGGAGACAAAACCAAGCAAGATTTACAGAAACCACGATTCGCGATCGTTCTCACTTTCAAAAATAAACCGAAGAATCTCATTTGGGCATGCTCAATTCTAGAAAAGAAGGAAAATAATAAAAGTTCAAATTCCCTTTTTAATCATGCTCGAATGCAAATAAATCCATTTAAACCTCGCCACCATCTCAGAAAACAATTAAAATATGCTTAAAAAATTTACGGGCTTTACCATAATTTACTTACCTTAATTACACAGGACAGAAGGCCTAATTCCAGTGCTAAGGCCACAGGACAATCAAGGACCTAATCACAATGTTCCCAATTAATATCTATGTATACACAATTACACAATTACACAATTACAGATATACAATTTCTCAAACTAATGGACAGGAATTTGGGAGAACCGGCCTTGACAGAAAAATGGCCAATTCACAGAATTCTCCCCTTTTTCTCTTGGACATCACACAACAGCCAAATTAAGGATTTTCTACTTAAATCATCAACCAATCCATTTTCAAATTGCCAAAACTCATCCCCCACCTCCCGCATCTTGTTTTTGGACAACCCAAACACCCACACAACCAATTAAGCTCACAAGCAGCAATTAATCCACCAATTTTCGGAGATTTGAGAAGCCAACTTACCAGAAATGCTCAACAAGCAAGGCTGGAGCTGGCGGTATGGGGAAGAGCCGGCGGGAAAAATTGGGGGACTTCCACGGGGCCACTAGTAATTGAAAGAACAACAAGATTAGAGTGACCCAACATAAATTAAGGCTGAAAAGAGGAGTTTTTGGGCTGATTTTACCAGGAAAAATCGAACTCACACCCAGTTATGGCCGGCGGCAGGAAGTAGAGAAGCAGAGTAGATCCGGGATTCTTGGGTTGAGGGAGAGAGTTTTAAGCTCTAAATCTTGTTATTTAACAAGACAAGGGAAAGAATTTACCAAGATCTTACCAATTTTCGGGAGGAGTAGGTGTTGGTGAAGGTTGGTGGTGTTCAGCTGCAGAGGGGAAAGAAAACAGAGCAGACGCGAAAATGGCTGGAAAGAAAGAAGGAAAGAAGAAAAAGATAAAAAGGAATGAGTCAGTCGGCCTTATCCAAACACCCTTTTTGACCCCTTTAAAGTTTGGAAAACTGACGGTTAGGTCCATTAATAATGTTTTCTCACCATTAAGCCCCTAACTCACACTTATTTGTTCTTGAAATTTTGGGGTATTACAGCAGTCAAATATGTTAGGCAAAGTCCTATGAGGTTAAAGAGATTTAAGAAGGTTTGTGACTAGGTAGAAATTGAATCCGAAAAGCTATTATGTTTGGAGGTCCAAACAAGGTGGAATTCACTTTATTTGATGCTAGTCACTCCTAAGAGGTTTGAGGAAGCTTTTGAGAGGTTAGTTCTATTTCATTTTATTTGTATTTTTGTTTTTAATAGTTTTTAGTTAGAAATATTAACTATTTATCTAATTGTTGCATTTTTTTAAAGATATGCAAGACCCAAACATGAAGAATGAGTTCAATGATGGCCCTGATGCTCCTGGATTCCCCCCTTACATAGATTGGGAAAATGTAAAAAGATTAATCAAATTTCGACATCATTTTTATGAGTTGACAAGGAAGGTCTCTGAAACCTTATATACTACCAACAATTTATATTTTCCCGAGCTTAGTGAGGTAATATATTTTCATTTATAAGTTATACTTCATTTCAATTAAATAATAAGTTATAGATCATGTTAAATTATTTTACTTGTAGGATGATCATATACTTAAAAATGGGAACAAGATGTGGATCTTCATGATCTTGCTGGTAGAATGAGGAAAAAGTGTAAAAAGTATTGGGGGAATCCAAGGGAGATGGACAAAAACATCTTATTTGCAATGGTGTTGGATCCAAGGTATAAGATGAATTATTTGGAGTATTTAATCTTAAAGATGTATGGTCGTAAACCTGATGGTGAACCTAATGATGATGGGCCTTTTTATGTTGCCATGGTCAAACGTGAGATGAGAATGTTGTTTGAAGAATACAAGAGGTTGAATTTCTCTACTGTGAAATCAAGAGACTGTCAACCATTTGATTAAGGAGCAGCTTTACCTATGCAATTAATATCCAAAGTGTGGTAGATCCAAAAAATTAGAGTGCAAACATCCCAAGTGAGGTTTGATTACAAGAAGTTTAAAGTTGCCAATGGTAGAAGAGCAAAAAAACAAAGTTGGAGAAGTACTTGGCAGAAGATCCTAAGGATGAGAACGAAGATATTGATGTTCTTCAGTGGTAGAAGATGAATGAGCATAGATTTCCAGTGGTAGCAACCATGGCGAGAGATGTCTTAGTAGTTCTACTATCTCCTATTGCTTTTGAAATAGCATTTGGTATTAGAGGTTGGGTCCTTGATGCTTTTCAGTTATCATTGACACCAAGAATAACACAAGCTCTCATTTGTACACAAGATTGGTTGAGAGATAAGGCTGTTTCTAATATGGAGGAGAAGGATTTGGACAAATTGGATAGTTTAGAGAGAGGTAATATATTGTATGCAACATGTTTCTTTTCAATTCAATTATTTCTTTAATTATGCAATTGAGAAAATTTTAACCATGAAACTATTTTTTTTAACTGATTTTACAGAGTTTGATAAGCTTCATTTGGATTCTACCATTCTTGAATGAATGGCGGATTGATGAATGGTAAGGTACAAGGTAAATTCCTAAACAATTTTAAACTATGTTAACTTAATGCAATTAAGAATTAAGTTAGCATTGAGGTAAGTTTTTTCAATCATTTCTTTTGCTTATTTATAATTTCAACTAACTAATTTTTATTTTTGCTAATTGTTCTAGATACAAGTGTACAAGTGTACAAGTGTTTTTTTGGTTAACTTAAAATTAGATGATGTTGTGGGTTGTGGCCTATATTGTGTATAATGCATTTTTTTGTCATGTGATATTGGCTAAACAAGTTTTCTTTTGAACAAATAGGATTTTTTTTTTTTTTTTTGGATAGGCAAGTTTCTTTTGGACAAACAAATTTTTTTTTGGATAGACAAGCATTCTTTTGGATAGTTTCAAAGTTATTGAGAGATGACAATTGGACATAACATGCAACTACTGTTAAGGAAGAATGGTGATTTTCTGAACTTAAGTCATTTGGTAGTTGGTATCAATAGTTGACTAGTTTAGCTAATGTTTATGTTACAATTTAGGCTTAGTACTTTGTTACTACTCTAAGTTGTTTTAGTGTTTAAACAGCAAAGTTTGTATTTCAATAATAGCTTGTAATAATGTGATGCAATGTAGGTATTTGATGAAATATATGATATTTCTAATTTCAATTAATACTCTGTTATCAGTTTCTTTTTTTCAATTGGTTTTACTTATTTAATGTAGTTTGCTATGTTATGCTGTTTAAAGATCTTTTTTTTTTTTTTTTTGTTTTCTGTTTTAAGATAGAGATTTTGTAAATTAAGATGGGTTTGTTGAAATTAATTGGATTGATGTAGTAGAAATATTATGGGTTTATGCATTCTATTAAGTTGTCAAAAAAAGTAAATTTTTTTTGCTTTAAATTCTTTTTTTTTTTTATAACTTCTAAATTTCTTATGTTTTATTTTTGGACATTATGTGATTAGCTTTCATGTTTTGTTGGAAGTGAATATGTTTATGTTGATTGCACTATTTTCTTGTTTCTTTTGGATTGTTTGATGGAGTTATGTTTTAAGTTTGATAGGTAAATTGGTTTTCAATTTGCTAAGTCCCAAATACATTTTATTATTATTATTAATTTTTATTATTTCTCTTTTGAAAGTGAATTTTTTGTATAGTTGTATGGCATTTTGCAGCTTTTTTCAATTCTCAATGATTTATGGTATGATTTTTTTATTGCAACAATTTGAATGCAATAGTGACTGGTTCAAAAAATGGCTTGAAAGTTTATAGTTAATGTTTGAAACTTTAGAATTTTTTATTCATTTTTGCATGTAGCAAATCCGCCACCCCCTTTCCCCATAGATAAAATTGTCTCTTGATTTTTTGCAGTCTTGCTTAGAAATTTTTTCTTTTAATGGAAAAGTCTTGCTTAGATTTTAAAATGAGGCTTATTTAGTTTTGCATGGTCTACAATCATCTAATGTTAAGTTTGTTATGTTGACAGCCTTAAGGGTTGAGTCCGTGATGAACCTTCTTTGATGAGCCATCAACCATGTGTTGCAAGAAATTGGACAAAATTGAACAGCTTTTGATGCCTTTTTTTGGACTTGTCAAATGTAATGGCTTATTAGCTTTGCTACTTTGGATATTTGGTCCAAATAAGTTGGATCATAAAATTAAAGAAAATGGATCACAAAACATTTGTTGTATATTTGGGCCACAAAATAAAAGGCCCAAACCCAAAAGAGTAGCTAAAGCTTAAGCCTAGAATTGGTTAAAATTGAGATTGATGTCAATCAAACCAATTAATTTGGTAATTGAATTGAATAACCAAAATGTTATTTGGTTTGATTTTTGGTTATCTCACAAAATAATTAACCAATTAAAACCATCAATTCAAGTTCAGTTCCAACCAAACCAAACCAATGCCCACCTCTAATTGTGTCTGTAACTACAGGTGTAGTTGTCAATGTGGGTATATCTGTATTAAATTATATTATGCTTTATTTTTAATT